CTCTCTCTCTCTTTCTTTCTTTCTTTCTTTCTCTCATTAATATTTTCTCATTAAAACTGAGAAATTATTTAAATAATATTTCATAAGTGGCCAAAGTTGACAAAACTTTATTTTTTATGAAATTAAATTTGTTTATAATTATGACTTGTTTACAACAATAAACAAAATTATAATTATTAAAATATCCAAAATATTTATTTAAAACATTTTAATTGGAAAATTTCTTGAAACTTAATCTAATTATTTTAAATGTTGTGAAATATGTTTAAAAATAAAAGCAATAATAAATTTGCGACAATGAGTTTACGATGGGGTCTGTGTTGTAAATTAATTGCAATTTTCGTAAACGCATTGTGTTTTTCTAATTAATAATGAAAATCTAAAAACAAAAAAATTTTGGTCAAATATGTCGGCGAAAGACTGGAAATATTTTAAGTGTGAAGACATTTCAATAACGAAATGCCATTTCAATGATTATACACTTCACACAAAACCGTAGTCTAAGTGTAAAATATAAGGAAATTTTAGAGTTTTATTTGTAAAAAAAGAGTGGAGTATATGTCAAATGTTTGTCGATTTATTCTCAGGCGCTTTACTATTACTAGAAGTGTATTGTAGTATATATTCGTATTTTTAGTGGCGTTCAAGTGCTTTGTTGTGATCTCTGGTTGTGTTCATCGCTCAACAAAACTCTCTTTTTCTTTTCCAATAGAAATCTTATGAGACTTAAGGTTAAGAATGAGAGCAACTTTTCAACTGATCCCTCCATCGCATACACAGGACTGTTATGCTGTATGTGTACCGTATATACCGCTATACGTTGTATATACTGTTATATACACTACACAAATATACATTACTTGTGAGGCACTAGTATTGGATTGCAGAAGAAAAACTTGTTTTTGCTCTTTTGCTATCGTCTTCTTCTTCTTCTCTATTCTTTTTCTTCTTCTTTCGCTGCAATACTTCACACAAAAAGCAATTCTCGTGAGACGAAGGCTTTTCTTTTGCTCTCCTTTTGGCTAAAGAGAAACAGAGATGAGTTTGAAGTACTGTTTTATAGTCCAACACAATGTAGTGTAGAGTTCAGTACATAAGTCAAGCAAAATGTTTGACATGTTATATATGTATGCAATGGTTTGGGTGGTTGGGGTGTGCCGTCTAAACCCCATCTCATTGCGCCTTCGCTTCTATCTATTGCTTGTTATCTAATCTGATGAGACGGTCGAAAGGCATGTGTTATTTAGTGGACATTCTGGTCGCCAATGTATATATACGGCCAAAGCATACAAACATTTCGTGCTCAGGCATTGCTCAGGCATTCCGATTGTTTCCTAAATCAATCACTCGCTTGCGATGTGTTTCCCATTTTCTAAATGCAATACTATATCTCTTTCCAGTATTGAAGGGCTAACTCATCGACAGTATATCCACACAAACGAGGAATAAGTTATGACTTTGGGCTCAGAGACGGCTTCAACCCATAGATTGTTTTGTAGTATAAGAACTCGTTTTTGTGAATTGGAATCAGTTGTGAGCCGTCATCACCAGAATGTCTGTGAAAAACTCGGGAACAGGAGTTCATGTCTCACCAAAACATCAATATTAAGGTATCATTTCTTATAAAACTATTTCTTCTTCTTTTTTATATGTCTTTAATGCAATCAAATGGTCTTTTCTTTCTTTCTATGGTTTCTATTACTTATTGTTATGTATTTGTTGTATAGAAATCCGTATGTATTGCTGGTAGTGGTGTGTTATATCAGTTATTGGCCTTCAATATGGGGTCAGCTGGTGCTGGACGACCGGCCGGCCATCATCGACAACAAGGATTTGAGGCCAAACACACCATTGTATCGATTATTTGAGAATGACTTCTGGGGAACACCACTCCATAAAGTAAGTGTCAAAATGTCTTTTCCTTCTCTTCTTCTTATTTATTGTCCACTTATTCTGTGATAAAAATATCTATAATTTAATGTATTCTTAAGTCTAATGATAGCATACCATAGAAAATGATACAAAATATCGATCGATTAGAAAAACTCCTCGAAAATCATACAAAACTATGAAAAATGTTGACTTAAACCAGACATAAATTTCAGTCCATTTGATTTAAGCCTATTTTTCGCTCTTTGTTTTTTATTACATCAAAAAACATAAAGTTTTTTGTTTGAAATGTATTTTATTTAGTAATTTTTATTAGTACAAGCGATGTATTTATAATATATTAATATAATAAGCAATAAATTAGACCGTAATTCAAATCTAACGCAACATTTTAATGTTTGCTCTCATAGACTATAAATTAAATGTTCGCTTAATAGTAATAATTTTGAACAAAACACTTAAATACATAAACTATTAAGAGTTTGTGTCAAATTAAATCATAATTTGTCAAAAAACTACATATGAATTATTTGTTGGAAAGTAATTCAATCAAAATTGTAATAATATGTCAAAAACCGTGTTAATAAGATTACGGTAAAAATTATGCAATAAATGATTATTAAGTACTGAAATCTATTTATTATTTCCATAAGTTATAAGTATTACACTATAAGTGATATCACAATCAATTAATCTCTTATGTTTGTCGACTCGTATTCTGTGCCATAAAATTATTTATTAAAACGATAACTAAATCTTTTGCCATATCTTTGATGAATGAAATTACCATTACTTTTATTTTTGATAACAATATTATTTTTGGCCATTTATTTATTTTTTCTTTCGCCCTTTTTATCAATTTATGGCTTTTATTGATATTTCAAATATATTGCAAATATTAACATAAACTTAGGCTTAATATTTTTTAACTATAATTCAATATAAAATTGCAGTTTAAAGAATCACTCGACTCCACCAGATTTATTTTAGTATAACTTTTTAGTTTTATAAAACACTTTTAATTTTAATGTTAAAAACTTGATGTCATTTAGTTTAAGTCATTTTCTATTTTAAAAATTTGTGTCATTCTTATGATTATATTTAGTCGTAAAAGGATTTTTCTCCAGAAATGCTTTATTTCCTGCAATTTAAATCTTATGTATTTTTTCTTTGTTTTTTGTGAGCGAAAATGAGTTTGACATCAAATAATAAGCTTAAATTATATAATGAAAGCAGAATCTCATATAAAAAACTTTATTCTCATTATTAGTACAAAAGCAAACTCCGACTACAGAAAGAAGAGCTTTTTGTGCTGCAATTTGTATCAAAACTAATCACATTAAATCTAATTATAAATTATACTATTTTGTATGAGAGAGAGAGAGAGAGAGAGAGAGAGAGTTTAGAGAAAAACAATTAATTAATTAAATATCATTTAAATTTCTTTGTAAAACATGTTTATTTAGTTGTTTTTGGTTGAATTTAAATACAAATTAATATCTCTCTCCACCTCTAAGAGAGAGAGAGAGAGAGAGAGAGAGAGAGAGAGAAGTGAACCCAATTTGAAAAGTTTGGTTCATTAACTCGAAAGCAATGCTAATAAGAAGAAAGATATATAGTTTTGCAGAATTATTAGTATTAATAACAAGAAATGATATCAACATTATATGCTTTGCAGTCATATATACTATAGTTATGTATGATATGATGGTTAATATCTATTGATTTTGAGCATACATTTCGCTCTTAGATGTTGTTTTGATTCTCAGACACTGACAGCACTTCTATTCGCACTTCTATTGAATTTCCTCCGAGAATAGAGTGGAGTGAGAGATGGGGTCGAGTTTTGGGCTAAGTTTGAGAACTTATTGCTTACAACTCATTTCATGTTAAACTGTTTAGCTATCGTTTTTGCTTTGTAACACTTATTTTCAGTTTATATGTACAGTATTAAGGCCTACCAAACCTACCAAACCTACCAAATCTACCAAACTTACCAGATCACCAGACATTTAGATTTGCCAGATCTCAATATGTTAGGATAAGGCACCCCTGCGATTGATTATAATAAATATCAACAAACCATTTCATATAAGACTTCAATATAAAGCCCACATTTGGGCAACAAATCAACCGATTTTATGCAAAAGAAGAGAAAAAGTTTAGTTAATAAATAAAGAAAAAAGTCATTTGGTTTTGATTTACTGGATGTTTGCATTCGCTATCTTTGTATTGATGTTTGTTTTGATTGGATAATACATGTGTATTAAAGTAATATTTAGATGAACTCAAACTAATATATAATGTATTAATTTTTAGGAACAAAGCCACCGAAGCTATAGACCTCTCACAACACTAACATTTCGATGGAATTTCTATATTCATGGCTTAAATCCGATGGGATATCACATAATAAACATTGCGTTGCATTCATTCGTTTGTATTTTGTTTTATAAGTAAGTTCTCAGACAAAAGCGATGTGTATTTCTTATGAATAACTCATTATCTTTATGTAAGTCTTATTCATGTATTTATATGTATTTTGTTTTTGAATCATAGCTACTCTCGGCTACTATTCTGTGATTCGATGACATCCTTAATAACATCTCTACTCTTTGCAGTTCATTCAATACATACAGAGTGTGTAAGTAGTAGTCAAACGCATAGCTATTATTTGAGCCGTAGATTATCTATCAGTGAGTGATGTTATGCAACGCTTTCTCTCATCAAAATAGCTCTCCCTTTTTTGCCCGCATATCTATGCCATCAATGCATTACGATTTCACTATTACTACACTATAAGCACACAATTCTTATCGTTAGCATAATATATAGAAAAATCAGCGAAAACTTATAGCTGAGACTCCAGAGACCCAAACTTATTAGACTCAAGAGATTCTTAAAAGTTTAAGATTTTTCAAATTACTCCTTAAGAATGCCTAATGACTATCGATTCGCACATCTATTCTCACATCTATTCTCCGCTTTAATGAATATTTTACACAAAATATTAATTCTGAAAAACACTCTTTAAATGTTGAAACGAAAGCAAAAACCAAAATATGATTATAAATAAATTGAGATAAACAGAGAGAACGGTATATAAAAATACTCTTTTAGTCACGTTTTATGGACTTATCATTACTTCTTATCGGCTGTTGGTTTGTGTTAAAGAGAGAGCGCAACGTTTGTATTGAAAGTTTTTATTCATTAAATCGCTTTAAATAAATATTAATTCAATAAACAAACCAAAAGAATATTAATGGCATAATATATGATAGAAAGGGCTATTTTGAAGCCTAACATAGAATTAGTTTTCATAATACGATAATATATATAAAAAGCAGCGAAAAAACTACAATAAATGAGTGTAACGTATAATACAATCAATTTGATGCAAATGTGATTGAATGGGAATGTGAGTGAAATCAGTTGATCCTAAAACAAGTCACGAATGAAAAATAATGACCACTTTTTTGAAGTAATTTGAATATATTTTGACAATCGGTTGGCAAAAAGGAATTGCATTTATTTTGTTGTGAATTCTTGTAATGAATTAATCCATAGATAGTGACTATAATGTCGAACACTGTGTTAAATATCCATAAACTGTAGTATGACTTGAATTGTTAAATGCCATAAACAGAGCACAAGAATTCTCGTTCAATACATATAACTAAATGCTGTCTCTATTTTACAAATTGAAATTTTATGGATTATTATTTTGAGTCCATTTCCCAAACCGATCCTCTAATGTGTCATTTGATACTCTTTTATACTATAGGATCGCAAAACTCGCAGTATTTTTTATGTTACACTTTTTTACGATAAGTAATAAGAAATTAGAGATAGTATTATATGGTATGCTATTGTACTCGATATGCATATTGTTTCAAATGGCATCACAAGGCGTACAGTTCCCGCTCTGAGATATTTTTAATATTTATATCCATTGAATCTATAGTCAAGTAGATTATTGTGTTTAAATTTTCGAGAAAAAATGAAAAATAAATTATAAAATGCTATATTTTTTTAGAGTCTTGAGAGAAACATGTAATGAAAAAATAACAGAAAATTACTGTTCAATCGATTCAATCAAATCAAACTTTCATTTGATCCCCGGTTTTATACTCTCATTCAATGTTTAAGCTTTTTTCTTACTTTTAATATATATTTTTTATAAAGTATTTGATTTACTATTTATGATTTGCTTAAAATTTCTCTCTCTCTCTCTCTCTCTCTCTCTCTCTCTCTCTCTCTCTACGAAAAGAGCTCTAAAATGCACTAAAGTCTTAGTCTCTCCGTCTTAATGGATAAATCGATACCAGTTTACACAACTCTCTCCCATCCGTCTCTCTCTCTCTCCCTCCATATATATATTTATTTGCAATTTTTTTCTACAAATACAGAGTAATACAAATCAATAACAATTCGAGATACAGTGCATAAAAAATAAACGCTTAAAGTTTTTTTTGCTGTTAAGTGCGAGAGAGAGGGACGGATGGGAGAGAGTTGTGTAAACTGGTATCGATTTATCCATTAAGACGGAGAGACTAAGACTTTAGTGCATTTTAGAGCTCTTTTCGTTCTCTAAGGTTGTGATAAACCACTCAATGTTGTGATGGCGAGAGAGTGTATCCCAAACTCTCATATGATATGTTTCTACTTTAAACTGAAAGATCGCTCGACTAAAACACAAAATGAATTTTGGGTTAAAATATAATGGTTTGTACGGCTTGTAAAGCATGTGTTCCCATATTCTGTTAGATCCTATGCCTTACGACTGACATAACGGTCAGACAATATGCCATCGATTCCGCTGTCTGTCTCATAAACTAAACTAAAAATATACAACTCTGTTGTGTCGAGTCTGCACTTATTTAAACCAGTATTGAAATTATTACACATTTTATTAAACCAAATATTTGATGTCAAGCGGTTTGCACTCACTTTTAGATGACATTACATATGAGAATATTATAGCAATTAAACAATTGATTATTAATTATGAGATTTATATTCACAAAAAGGTTGCATCGATTGTGGGAAGAGCTGAACTCCTTTCGGCTATATTTTATTTATCCACTCTTTTGATATGGAGTTCACAAAAATACAAAACGAAAACAAAACTATTATTATGTGTTATATTTTCGTGGTTTGGATTCCTCTGTAAAGAGCAGTCATTGACTTCACTGATCATATGTGCCATTCATGAGCTCATCTCTCGAAGACATTTACCGAACAAAGTAAGCAAAAGATTATTATTTATGAAATGATAGCAATATTTGATATAAAAACTAATAAATGGATGCAATTGTAAAACAGGAAAACAAGATAATCCCAAAAGCGAACCGAAACTCTATTATAGTAAGAGTTGGAAACATAAAGAGATCGCAAATGGTTTGGAGGAAAATCGTTAAAAACATATTTATTTTATTGTCTGCATTCATGTCGGCTCTCATATTCAGATTGTATTTAATGGGAAACAAGTTTCCAAAATTCAATCGGTATTCAATCGTATTATATATAATTATTATTATTATAATTTTGATACAAATAGTATGAATAATATGTAACAAAAGTCAGTTTTTATTATTATTTATTGCAATTTAAATTTAAATAGAAGATGAATGTTATTATTGATAAATACTTTAAAGTCATTTTGAATCCATTATATAATATTGAAAATTTAGTTATTTCAAACAATTGATGAATCATCTCTCATATCATTGAAATCGATAAAAAATATTGGAAAAATATGCAGTTTAACGCAATAAAATTTTAAATACCAGCTATATTTCAGAGGAATTTTAAACGAGCTTAATTTTATTATGAATTCAAACCATTAGTTATAAATATTGGCATCAAAATTGTCATTAGCGGCCATTCGTTGATTTTATTCACAGATAACGTGAAACATACAGTATGCATCGTTTTATGAGAGAATATTTTTTTTATTCAGGGCCTCAGATATGTTTAGTTTTTTAATTTTAAACATTGCATGTATTTAAAGAATTTAATGTTTATTTGATTGCTCATACACTCGGTGTGCATAAAAACTAAAAAACATGGTAAACCGTTTAGGTTCGACAACCCGGCCTCCTATTCGGGCGCACCGACCAAACAGTTGACGTATAGCTATTTGATTGCCTTCAATAGTTGGCTGCTATTATTTCCATGTGATTTGAGCTGTGATTGGACGCACGCATCCATACCTCTGGTGTCAAACCTAACGGATCCAAGAATTTGGACGATTGGGGCCTTCTTTGCTATTTTGTTCGCATTATTATTCTATGCCTTAATCAAGAGTGAAGATCACAGACTATTTCTGGTGAGCCTTTCCATCATTTTATTGCATATATTCCGCCAAAAGTATTGCATATTTCCAGAAGAATTGATATCTCAGACAATCCGTTATAAGTAAAGTAAAATGTTTTTTGAGGCATAAAATAACATAAATAGTTGTGGCAAAAATGCAATATTAGTCCTCCATTACCCCTCCATCCTCTTTCCCCATCTTCTCTCTCTCTCTCTCTACTCTTTATATAATATATAATTGATTGTATGAATAGGTGCTAACACTAGCGATCGTACCATTCATTCCCTCATCCAATATATTCTTCCCGACGGGCTTTGTTGTCGCCGAAAGAGTACTATATTTGCCTTCAATTGGATTTGTTTTGTTGATTGGAATGGGAGTGAAGAAAATGCTTGACTCGTGGTATGGAATTTAATACAAAAAATATTAACTTTTATTACATATAAAATATTTTTTGAAAGAGAAAACATTATCTAATATTTGTTCACTCATTCATTCATTGATTGTGTTTGAAAGGGAAAGCCATTCGACTCGTATTAAGACAATAATAGGCCTTCTGTTGATCGTTTACACCGTCAAGACATACCACAGATGTAATGAATGGTAATCAAAAATATTGTATTTCTTATTGTTTTGCAGCTATACTTATATACAATATATATGAGCCTAATATAAAATATATGACTAAATTAATATAAATTATAGTAACGAATTGCACACAATATTTAATTCGTTTATTGTTGTGATTATATTTATTTCATATGTAATAAACTATCGTTAATAACATTCAAAAAACAATTTCAGGAACAATGAGTACTCTCTCTATACGTCAGGCCTTAAAGTGAATCCAATGAACACTAAACTACTCAACAATTTGGGAAGACTTTACGAAAGAGACGGCAACTATGATGTGGCCATCAATTACTTTAGAGATGCCGTACGGTATGTGTAATGGATGTGAAGCATAAAAAACAATTTTCTATATTAATGTGCTTTTCATTTAACTTTTACTGTAATTTTTGGCGAAAATTATACTTATTTGGTGTTATTTATTGTATTATAACAACAGAATAGAGCCGTCAGATGTGCGGGGACATCTCAATTTGGGCAACATTTTACTCAAACTTAATAACTCAATAGAGGCTGAGATGTCGTACACGACGGCGACCAACCTTTTGCAAGAGTCGGCCAACACATGGCATCAGATATCGTCAATGCATTTAACAGCTCTGTTCAGACTCTCGCAACTCATATCAAGGGATCCGCACCGGACTCAAGAGGCGTTTAATTCACGCGATGTATTGAACCTAAAAAGTGATTTCAAACCAGTGTTTGACAGTTGGACACAAGAAATGAGGAGTTCATCCAATCGACGCATTGAAGCGGCGGTAATGTTGGCCGAAGCCCTTCAATACGAGAGCTCTGATCCCGACGTCCTCTACAATGTATGTAATCTTTGCAAACATTTGAAAAGAGTTTCACAAAATCTAATCCATTACTTGAGTTACAATTTTTTTGTAAGAAATGAAAAATTTTATACCTTTTGTCATTTTGCCGGCGCTTTTGAAAGCAGAAAATGAATTTTTCAAACGAAACTTTTGATGTTTAGCGCAATTCATTTCATAAGATATTTTTGTGTCATAAGATTTAGGGCACAAAAACGAATTGAAAAAGTTTTGAATTTTTTCTTCGCTTCAGTCGAGAGAATAAAGTTAAAAGCCTTTAAGTCAATGACAGAACAGTGTATATAAAAAGATTGTTAACAGAATTGTGAACACAAAATGTATTAAGAGGTGTCTAAAAAGTGATACAATTGTCTGTGTTTTTTACAGTTGGGTATAGTTATAAACGAGAGCGGATCGGCTGACGAGGCGCTGGAGTTGTTTGATAAGGCGCTAAGTGTGGACCCGCATCACGAGCCCTCACTCTTAGCCTCTGCCCGTATAATCCAAGACCAAGGGTTGAGTGGTTTGCATGAAGTGGCGATCGAGAGGCTCAACACAATCATTGAGTTGGGAAGGGCTGACGAAACGGTTTACTTCAACGCAGCGATGCTGGCCATCAAAAGCGGACGCTTTGATTGCGGCAAACGATTGCTTGAGAGCGCCATTCAAATGAAGGGCAACTTCTCGGAAGCGCTCTATAATATGGCACTTATTCTCTACAATGAAGAGTATCCGCAACCCTTACAAGCCGTTGAATATTTAACAAAACTATTGAACACAAACGGCGAACACATCAAAGGACTGCTATTATTGGGCGACATTTATATCGAGTATTTCAATGACCTAAAGAATGGCGAGAATTGCTATAACAAGATATTGTCGATCGACGCCAACAATGTGTTCGCTCAGCACAACCTCTGTGTCGTTCACGTCAGACGAAAACACTTTCACGAAGCGATCCAATGCTTCGAGAAGATCCAGAAGAATAACATCGGTTCAGTCAATGTTGAGCATCACCTCAAACTGACCAGAGATCTGCTAAGGGATCAGCTCAGGAATGGTAGCAATGAATTCAAGTTCTTGTTGTAAATGATTGCTCCGACAAAAGATATATAAAGATATATTAATATATGATTTTTTGGTGTAAATATTATTTAATTTCATTTTAAACAAATCAGAGATATATTATTGAAAATTATATTATCAAATGAAAACATAAATATATATTAATTTTAAGAAAAATTCATACTTTAAATAAAAATTAAAACATTTTCTCATAAATAAAGTACAAACAAAAAAAGCCGATTCTATTGTATTTATTTGATGTGTTTGGGAAATGCATTGCAAACAAAGATTTTGAAAATATTAACAAAATATATCATTTTCTTGAATAAAGAATATTAATGTTAGACAAGTTTTTCATATATTTTCTTTGCGTTAAACTCTATATTTTGGTTTAAAGAATATTCAAATTATTATCAATTTATGAGCAAAAAATGATTTAGTGATGGAATAATTTTCTTCACTTTAATAAATACATGTCTGAAGCAAAAGGAGAGAAATTGAATGAAATACTAAAGCAATAAATATTAAATACTCGTTCAACTCATCCATTATAATAACGAAACGCCACGTCTTGCAAATGTAATGAACAAAAAATGCTTTTGCTTTTGAATATGATTTGAGGGAATTAGTCGTCCCATTATTCTCTCTGTTAGTCTTCAAAACTGCTTTTATATTCATTTATTTATTTATTGCCAAAAAATGTTGGCAAAAATGATTGATTCGCAAAACAATATGAATGAACAAAAATAATAAGTTATCCATAATTTTTTATATATAGATATAGAATATGAGGGCATTTATAAGAATTTGTTTTCATATAATACAATCGATTCCTATATAACATATCCATCCAATATTAGTAATCATTTCTATCGTAATAATAATTGAGTTGAAAATAATTAGTTGATTGAAAAGCGAGTTAAAGAATTAAAACAGTAATTCAGGGCTTCATTTGCAGAATGAATGGAAAACATTAAAATAGCATTAAATGCTAATTATCTTTAAAGGCAAGTATAATGTAATTAAAGACTAATGAATGTTTTGATCGACAAATATTAAATTAAAATGATTTTTGCAAATTGTCGCACATTTTCCACTTTCTTCTCTCATTTCGATGTCTTCTTTATGTGCAAAATGTGTACTATTTTTGCGAATTAATGACTTTTGAAGTAATTTATCAGCAAATGAATCAATACAATCGACAATATGTTTTATCTTTTAATGTTATTTAAATTATAATTTAAGACGAAAACTAATTATTAAAAATTAATTGTTTAAAAAGACAATTAAATAAATGCTATTAACGTATAAATTAAATTACCCTCATTAAGATTATCAGTAACTATTCTTAGCATTGGATCTAATGGTCGCAACGATTGTGATATCATTAAAGAAATCAATTAAAATATTTGGCTATTAATATAAAGCATAAATTATTTTATTTAAATCATAAATTCTTAGTAAAATAAATTAGTATTTTATAGATTATGTCATTCATACTGAATATACATGTATTAAAGGCATTGAAAACTATAGAAAAATATTTTAGATTAAAATATTTAAAATTATTGAATAAAATACAAATATTTCATATAAACTGAAAGTCAACAGATAATGAATGACATATTGTATTACAATTTTTATTAAAATTCATTAAAGTTTGAAATTTAAATTTAGAGTTGAAATATCAAACATTTCTAGAATTCAATACATTTTTCGATTCAAGAATTCGTTATAATATTTCCAGTTATATATGACATGAATATATTTTGTCGGATTCTTTGATATATTTAACAATATATATAATATTACTTTTAAAACTTCAAATATATTTAAATTTAATATAATGTTAAATGTTATATTAGTATCAAATTTAATAATTTCCATTTGGCTTAATATTCATAATGCATTCAAAGAATAATATAAAAAAGAAAATATCATTTGAATCATACACTAGATTGAAATGATTTTCATGTTTAAGTCTTTGAGTTTAAATTAAAATTTTCTTATATAATGCTTAAAGAATTTAGGCATAAAATTAGTTATATTTCATCTAAACATAAAAGTTAAAATTACTATTAATTTGAGACCAAAGACTTGGAAAAATAATGTCGAAAATAAAATATAAAATTTAAAGAATAAAGTATTTTGGATTCGTCTCAAAGTTTCTCAATCTATTGTTTGGTTTGTTGTCTTTGTTTTGCAATATTCTTGTAAAACAATTTTTAAAGCGAAATAAAATCTTTCATTTATTTTCTAAGACTTGAGCCGAAAGTCTAAGAATGTGTCTTAAAATAAACAATTATTTAACTTTAGATTTTCTTCTCTTTGCAAAATTATTTTAAACAATAGTTTTGTATCAGATTTCAAAAATTACTTTTAACAACGCTTTTATCATAACATGAAATCATTTCATTTAAAATATCTAAAAATGCTGAAACATTTCAACTCATATTTTTTTATTCAAATTTAAAAGTACAGCTAATTTACAAAGAATTACCACAATATTAAAGAATTTACATCTGGATTATAAATAACACGTTTAGAAAAAGTAATTCAGCCGAAAGTTAGTATAAATAGAGTTAGGTTTGGATAGTTTTGATTCAATTGATTCATTGTATTCAATATGATTGTGTGGACTAAACTGCCATAATATTTACTTAACGATTTCACTCACTTAATGAAAATCCAATTGAAGTCTATTTCTAAATAAAACTTTTCGCAACGGATTTCATTGATTGGATATTAAGTCTTTGAGATAAACGCATCACATGTTCTCTGCATTACATTTGATGTTAATATAAGTTTTTGCTACCATTTAGACCCACACTATGCTTAACTCGGCGTGAATTCACATCACTTTTGTTTTTTGTTATTATCTCTTCCAACGGAAATAATGTTGAAATACATTTGGATTTATTTTATTTGGTTTTTTTGTTCAATTTGTTATTTACTGTAATTTATTGTAATTTATAAATCTGTGCCCAAAAAGTATTGCTCTTTTAATTTACTTTAATATCAAACAATCGATTGACAAAAAACGAGAGTTTAATGCACTAAACATATGGCAT